AAAAAAAAAAAAAAAAAAAAAAAACCCCCACACATGAACACAAGTGGTAAAGCAGGAACAATCATTTCAAACAGTTTGGAGGATATCTTGTATGCCCACCATTCAGATGGAGAATATCATCTTTATTGGTATTGCTTCAACATGAAGCAATTGCATTTTCATGCTGAAGGAATAACAATAAAGATGACATTCTGCAGCAGAATGGTGGTCAGACAACATATCATGTAAACCAGTGGCTCTCAAACTGTGTATCCGCAGGACTCACATTCGTTCTTGGTGATTAAGTCAGGACTGAAATTGCAGCACCCTGGAACGAACAGCATTGCGGTACTGCACGTTTCAGTGCGGGCAATTGAACTGTGGGTGGGAGGTGCTTTGGGGTGCCATTCAACTGAATGGCAACGCAACACACCTCCCACAACAGAATTTGTGGTAGGTGCAATTAACGCACTGTACTAGTGTGAACGGGCCCTCAAAAACCACTGACACACACGTTCCCCTTTTTTTCTAAGATTTAACCAGTCTCCCTATCTTAGGAGAAGTTGAGTGGATCCTCAGCCTTTGCTCCAGCTCCCTTGAGTGCCCTGTAGAGGTGCCAGGAGCCAGAATGTGACGTCACTCCGGTCCAGGCACGTCTACAGGACAGGTGAGGGAGCTGTAAGCAATGCATGCATGAATGGAGTTCCCTCGCGGCCATAGGCCGATCCCATCTCAAGCTGACACTTGGCAGCATATTTTGAAATGCTGCTTGGCGTGAGAACTGACAGCGCTGCGCTAGGGGGAGGCTGAGGAGCCTCTCATCTAGAAAAGTGTAAGGCATGCAGTGACCCACTGGACACTGAGTCGTGACCCAACAGTTGAGAACCAAGGATCTAAACTATATACTGTAATGCCATCCACTAGTTGTTCTGGCACCCGTTGAATCCTGGGGTATATTGGTATGGTGTGCGAAGACACTAATAAAGCAATTTGTGCAAACACACATGTAAAACTTACTTGCTGCTTTTATCACCACCTGATGACTTCCTCTCGCCAGATGTTCTCCCAGAAGTACTTTTGTCGTCCCCCTCTTTCTTTTGGTCTCGTTTGGAAGGATCGCTCTTCCACTAAAGGAACAATGATAAATTAATACACCGACAAAACCCAACTCCCAGGACCCAGCAAGATAAGCCCAACTCACCTTTTCTACAGATATCTGTTGGCCATGCAACTCTGTACGATGGAGGTGAGAAATACACCTGGACACATCGGCACTGGATGACATTGTGACAATTCCATAGCATTTTGCTCCTGGACTCCTTGCATTAGTAACTACTTTTGCACTAAGAACCTGGAAAATATTATGATTCAAAATAAAACAGTGAGATAGACTGATAAGACACAAAGGGCCTTCATATTCTAAACCGGCAAGCCTGCAATATCATTTGGTACAATCCATGATAAATGTCATGCGTTACAGATTTTAAATTAAAACTGCCCTGTTACAATATAGTAAGCCAACAGAATTACAGAAGGAAAGGCCCAGAAGTGAACAGCTGAACCATACATTAAAGTTTCTCATGTTTTTATATTGCATGAGAATATTAAAATACCCATGGTACATGAAACTAAAAAGTTAATACATGGAGACAAATATACACCCCAATATTACCAGTGTTAAAAACAAAAAACCCAAACAACTAGTGTTTTGTCAGGGCTTTTTTGGGGGCATATTATATTTGAAAACAAGAAAGCATCCACAACCCTTTGAGCAGATGTTGCAACTTTTTTGACGAAACCAGTTATCTGCATCTGCAAATTGCTACATAAACATACCTTTCCATACTTTCCAAATAGATTCTTCAAGTCTGCTGCCTTTGTATTTGAAGAAAGTCCACTGACCCAAAGATTTCTCAGAGAACTTCCACTTATGCTACTAGTATTTCCTAAAATGAAAAAAAAAAAAAAAAGTTGTGCTTTAATAAAGAATGTAATACCTATAGATTAGAACAGGAGAACAAACCCAAAGAGGGTATGAAAAACCTATCTTCAGAAGGGTCTGAGCAGTCCTGTGTTTAGATACCTATAGTAACAAAACACAACACAGGGAAGAACTTTTGACAAGTGAATCTTAAGAACTGATGCGTGCACCAATGTAGCAGTCAGATGCATGGTTTGAGTGTAAGAATCCTGCAGTGGAACTCCACCCAAAACCCTCATCTTGGATCCAAATGGAAAGATATTACAACCCATATCAAGGTTTTTATTGCCATCTATGGCCAGCTGGAAGCACTCCCTGACTACACCATAAACTTCCTATCCTAGGACAGTGGTTATGGGAAGAGGAAGTGGAACCACATCAATGAGGGCAAATATTAAAATATTTCTAAATTCAAAGCTGTTGAAATCACAAAATATCCAATTGACATAATCTTTACTTGGACAAGGGAGCTAAAATACAGTAAAAATGTCTGAACCTTTGTTTCCTGAAAACTTGTTGGTGCCGTCCCTAGCAGGAACCATACAGAATGCACACACAGAGCAAAACAGAAGCTCCTATTGCACCCATGGGAGCCATATGTTTTAATGATGCACTTCTGACATAAGGTGTCAAACAAAAAATCAAATCATGACAGTACCACTAAAATGTTTTCATAGATATTGGCAATCCGCTCTCTATTAAAGAAGAGGTATGGGGAGAATAAAACAAGACCCTTGGCAGTGGCGATACCCCCACACTGCAAGGGTTAAAGGAGAACTATGGGGTCAGTGTTTTTCCCCATAGTTCTTCTTAGGGTAACGGGAGGACACAAACTAGCGTCCTCCCGTTACCCTAAGCTCAGTATACCCAGAGCTACAGCTCGCGGTATACCGAGACGCCGCAGCGGATCCCAACTTAGATGACGGGATCCGCCCAGCTGCGTGAGTGACAGCTGGCTCTGCGTATCTAGAGGCAGAGCCAGCTGTACTTGCCCCCTCCGTTCCGCCAGTCGGCGCTGGCAGATCAGAGCGGGGAGAGGGGAATCCAGCCCCTCCCCCTGTCACGGCAGAGAGCCGTGACAGGATCGAGAGGCGAGCGAACCCGGTATGTGTTTGCTCACCTCCCGATCTAGTGAGCCGACCTGTGAGTCTCATTGTCACAGGTCGGCTAGAACTCCTTTAAGTCCTCATTTTAGTCTAGGGGCTAAAATAAAAAAAACTCACTTGATCCTCAGTCCCACCTGACTGCTAGACCGGTCGCTGCCACCTCTTCTCTGCTAGGCTGCAGCGACCTAAAGACCCATGACATCCTCACATGCACTGCAGGTTTATTAGACATGAGGATACCGAGGGATATGGCGCTGATTTATAAATATTCCACCCAATGTAAATCTGAGTGAGTGCTGTTTGCACTACACTATTGCCACTAGATGGTGCTAAAAAGCATAAGAACTGTTTTAATTCTGCCCCTTAGACTGACTACTGTATTGGCCAGTATGTGTTACAGCACAACTGCCATTCCTGAAAGGTGCCCACTCCCCCCCCCCCCCCCCCCCCCCCCCTGCTCCAGTGGAGGGGAAGGTCCCTCGGCATCCTCACGTCTAATATATTGTATTAGACTGATGACTCGCAGGTCATTAGACCACCAGAGAGGAGGTGGAGAGAGGTTGAAGGGACTGCTCTAACAGGCAGGCATGTGGTTTGGGTGAGTATATCTTTTTTATTTTAAACCCTGGACAAAACTGAACACTTAAACCGTGCAGTAGGGTTACCCCTGCATTGCAAGGTTTTAAGTTTTATTCTTCCCAGAGTTTTTAAGATACATTTATGACTCATTCCAAATTAATATCTAAATTAGGGTTTAACATGGTTTTGGGGTCATTATTTTTACAGCTTTTTTTTTTTTTTTAAAAGGTTTTATGTTATACCACATGAAATCTTTACTTCAAAACCTTTTATCACAGGGAACACCCGTTTTCGTGGCGCATTCTGGGGTGTTTTTCTTTAGTGTTCTGTAGTCAGCAGTATACAGAACTGTATCTCAATCACGTTTAAGTCTGTTATGTTTTTCAATCCTTAACACAAGATAACAGAAATTTATAAAATACTCTTTCATAATCAAGAAATGCACAGGTGAAGCTTAAAGAGAATTATGGGGTGAGTGAAAAAACACGGTCACAGGCCGGCTCTACTGATAGGGAAGTGAGCAAACACCAAACACCGGCCGACTTTCTGATCCTCTCGATGCAGAGAGCGGTGACCATCAGTTACCACTCCTCGCAGGGATTCCCCGCTCCCCTCTCTGATCCTCCAGAGCCAAGGTGGAGGAATGGATGGGAGAGGGGGAGCGGGCAGGCACAGCTGGCTTTGCCTCTCTAGAGCTGTCAGCCAGCGGGGTGGATCCATCCCTGCTGCAACACAGCTCTGTGTTAGCATATAGTGGTAACAGCCCGCTATATACTAAGTTTTGGGTCACCGGAGGACATTAGTATATGTCCTCCTGTCACCCTGAAGAGACTTCTGGCCCCAAAAAAAAGTTACCCCATAGTTCTATTAACCTCGCTGCCTGTCTGATTATTTCCTTTTTTGGTTTCTTTTTCCCCCCGTTTTTTTACTTTTAAATTTCCCGCCAGTTCCGCCCCCCCCGCGACACGGACGCACGCAAGGGACGGAACCCAGAGCCGGCATAGGCCGCAGTGGGAATCGTGGACAAGGTAAGTAACGCACTGTGTAATCCCGAGTGTGGCTCTGCGTTACCGCTTTTTGGTAATGAAAATTAACCCGAGCCACACTCTGGATTACACAGCGCTGTTAAAAAGGAGGAGAACTATGGGGTTAAGTCTTTTCCACATAGTTCTCCTTAGGGTAACGGGAGGACACAAACTAGCGTCCTCCTATCACCCTAGGCTCAGTATACTGAGACGCCGCAGTATACCACGAGCAGCTGCTCGCGGTATACTGAGACGCTGAAGCGGTTACTGACAATTGTGCCAGGATCCGCCCAGCTGTGTGACTGACAGCTGGATCTGCCTATCTAAAGGTAGTAGTAGTAGTACAATCCTTATGTACGAACCTTGGGAGGCTAATCATTGGATGACATAAGGTTCGTACTATCCCTGACATTCCATTTAAAGGCTATCTTCTCATGGCATTGGGGGACATGTAAGGGACCAAGAGGGAGGGGGGGGTTTTCTTTCTGGAGAGTCTAATAGTTTACATTGAGATTGAGTTTTGATAGGGGATTTGATTGGGAGAGAGGTGGATGTGTTTCGCGGATTACTTATGATTCACAATCATGAACACCCATTGTTTGGGAGGACTGACTATGTCTGTCTGTTCCTAAGAGTGCACATTGTTTCAGTAAACTATGTATCACGGATTTTAAAGCCATATAAAGATGGGTTACTTCTTTTCACTAATACACAAATATATTAATATTTATGTTTAATTGCTACATATGTTCACATCCATTTTTTTTTGATACATACACCATGGAAATATACACTTGTAGTCCAATATGGGCTTGATTACTGTCACACGGGGTGATATCTTTTAGATATATGTGTATGTGTGTGGCTGCGCACATGTGTATGTGTGTACTTAAACATGTATGCATGTGCCGGTGTCGCATGCACATACTACTGTATTACATTAGCACATTTTGATTAAGGATTTGATTTTTTTTGGACACGTATTGTATGGTTTTAGATTAAGTGAGGTGAGTGGATTAGGTCATATGGAGGAGCTAAAATGGTTAAAGAATACTCCATCACTGTTTCCATTGTTGAAAATGAGACCAACCCTGACAAAAGGTATGTTTAATGCCATCTCTTGGATTGGTTGCTCATATTATACTTATAGAATGCCTTATTTTATCAAACAGGGCCGGAAAAGGATATTTTTCTGTATTGTGGCCACTCCCCATTCATTACGGTATATTTAGGACCGGCTCTAGAAAAGGTGAACTGGGTCGTCTCTGGTCGTCCTCCGCTGCTCCCCCATTGGAGTCCCGGTGTCCCCGGCGTGGTGGCTCTGTGTGGCCCCCTGCTGCCTCCAGGTCCGTAAGCCCCTTTCTCATTCCAGGCAATATTGTTCGGGTAAGTACTGGGTGCCTGCTCATTCTGGGGGATTCTCATGTCTGCTGCGTTAATTGCCTAATTAGGACTCTATGATGTAATTTCAAAAATGTATGTAATTGGCGATGTTCCATTAAAGTGATTGGAAATAATTATCATTATTAGATTAATCTCCTATGGTCCCCTGAATAAGCTGTGTGTGAAAAGCGTCGGAACCGGATATGCCGGTCTTCCAGAAAGTTAACAGTGTGATATTAGCAATGATTATGTTTGAAACTATGGATGTGCAACTAAATATATTTTTGGTTGAATTCTGTATATCCTGGATGATTGCCTATTCAAATATAGATTGAGGGATTTTATATCACTCCTGAAATTTTACTGTGTATAATTTATTGTATGTCCAATAAATTTTGTTGCATTTTTTACCTATGCATTGGATGTACACCTCTGTAAAAATACCATGCTCTTTGTTGTTCCATGGTTAAATACAGGAGGAGAGGTGGCAATCAGGGTGTCAATGTCGAGGCAACTCATGAATTTGTTTTCCTTCAACAAAGCACGGGTAAGAAAAGACTACGTAAACAGACCACTCTACTAGTATTTCACAATATATTTTAGGTCAGCTGAACAGTCTCAATAAGCACTTGCAGTGGTCTGAATGAATCCAATGGCTTGGCTGGTCAATAAAAGAATCACATTTACATAACTGAAATGATAAAACGCAGCCCTGATCCTTCACCTTGACAAATACAGAAGATACAAGGTCTCATGCCAAGACACTGCATTCCATCTCCACGGGTTCCCTATTTATAAGAATAAAAAAAAAGGTATGGCCATGCTCATTACAAGACCCATTATGGAATTGACCATACACCGATGGTGGCCAGACTTTTTGATTTTGTCAGACCTGTAAAATTTTAGCAGCATGGGTGGACTGATTGGGTTTAACTAAAACTGACTGTTTAGGTAGATAATGACATCACACAGTTTGTCAACTTTTTGGTCATCTGAGAGGTTAGTTGTCAAACCAATCACAATGTGGCTAGCCAGCTTAAACTGAACACAAGACAGTAAAATTACTAAAAATGCAGCACAGGCCTTTGTTCTTTCACACTCTCTCTCTCTCAACAATTACAAATCAATGCCTGGTTTGTTTTTTTTAGAACAAACATCATGACAATAATATGCAGCTTGGCATTGCTAACCTGTGTCATACTGACCCCCCTAGCATTAATAATGTCAGTGACTGACCTGGAACAAGCATACCCATTATGACTTCTGGTGTAAATACTTGTCCTGGTCACTAACTCAAATCTAATTTCATATCATAAAGGCAAGCTACGTTTAGTAAATGCTGGTGCTTGCAGTGATGATCACAGATGGCGCCGTGCAATACCAAGTCTTGATACAAATGAAGATCACCAGCAATTGATGAATACTTAGAAATTCTTGTGGTCACTGTCACCCTGATAAAAAGGACCTTGCGTGGCCCCGAAATTTTTGCACATGACGCAATTTTTTTAAATCAATACAAAAAAAAGTTTTGTGAAAGTCCCCTGAGTGATTGGCACCACACACCTGTTCAATACAGTAAAAATGGAAGTTAAAATGGAAGAGTATATGGGGTTTTTTTTTTTAGGTGCCTTGTGACAAGAATTTACAATATTGTATCAAAATATCTTTATCGTATAAAAAAAAAGATGATTAACATCAAACAAAAATGATGGTATACATCCACGTTTGCTTCCTCATGACAACATAGTTGCTACCTCTAACACACGACGCTAAAACCATTAGTACAACATAATGGGTATAAAAAAAAAAAACACAATGCATTCTTTCAGTCAACTTGGCATAATGTTGTCTCTTCACAATATTGTTTGGAGCAGATAAAATTCAACGCTTTTTACACTGCAAGTGCTTCCTCAGGAATTTTGGTTATTGGAGGAAATCGAATACAGGAGTGACCCGTGCATAAACGACTGGAGTCAAGCAGGCGGGACCGAACCGCATCCCACAAATAGGAGTAATAGCCACAATGATGCTTGACCTAAGGGGTGCTCCTTGTAATTTCAGACTATGGAGGTTCCGCTGTATGAAAAACACTTTGCTGTTTATCATATGTGGTCGCTAGCTGCCGACACTCATGAGGCTGCGTTGCAGCCTCATCAGACGCCTGCTTGGCTAAAGTCATTTACCGATGGGTCCACTCCTGGATTCTTGTTCCTCCAATAACCAAAATTCCTGAGGAAGTGCTTGGGGCACGAAACGCATTAAATTTTATCTGCTCCAAACAATATTATGAAGAGGCAACATTATGCCAAGTTGATTGAAAGAACACATTGTTTGGTTTATTTATACCCATTATGCAATACTAATGGTTTTAGAGTTGTGTGTTGGAGGTTGCAACTATGCTGTCGTGAGGAAGCAAACGTGGATGTACACAATCATGTTTTATTTGATGATTTTAATCATCTTTTATACAAGATATTTTGATACAATAGTGTAAATTGTTGGTTTTTTCACAATGCACCTAAAAACCCATATACTCTAACTTCCAATTTTATTCTTCAAATAAATACAAAGAATTTATTATTGATCAAGTGCTGCTGATCTTAATTTGTGTCAAGATAAAGGCAGGCTCCACATCTCTATTGACACTTAAGTGGGGGGGTGGAGGGGGAGAGCATGCATAACGCAGCTTCCAATAAAGAAAAACTGGAAGGCAGTGTATTGGTAAACCTGTATCGATCACTGAAATAAAGAAACGAAAGGCTATTTTAACAATGAAAACATAGTAAACACCACACAATATAAATCCGGTCTGAAACATTAGAAGGTATATACCAATCTAACTGTAAGAAAAGCAAAACCTTACCTTTATCATCTTTGGATGTGGTTTTGCTTTCCTTTCCATCTTTAGACGAACTGTAAAAAGCAAGTAATAAAGGAAATAAAATAAACAAATCAAAAGGATCCTAGTTAGGAAATACTAAAATACAAAACAAAAACACCTTGCAAATGCACAATTGCATCTTAGAAGAACACAAGGATTCCCTGAAAAGCTTCTTGATATGATTTTCCCCTGGATGCCTGTAGTTCTAGGTTTTCTGACAATTCTATTCAATGTGGAAATATGGTAAATCTTCTCCAAAATTCAAGAATGGGACTTGACTTCATTTTGCTTTCGGGACGCTGTTTCTTACCATCACCACAAGGAGTTTAGAAACTCGTCAATTTGGAAAAAATGAAAATAAAATTGCTGGCAATTCAATAATGAAATTGGCAGAACATACTGGGAAGATCTTGAATTAAAAAAATAAATGAAAAATATAAAAAAAAAAAAAAAACTTATGAGGCTCAAAAACCATTATAAAACCAAAAGGTACTAATATTCTTGATGCTACCCCTTAATGTAGAGTGCTCTTAGGGAACGCTGGTAATCAGTATCGTAAAGAACTGACATAGAAAAACAAACCTCTTTGCTTGACCTGAGGTCCCAGTAGATGAGGGACCTTTCTTCTGAGAATCCTTGTCTTTATCTCCAGATTCAGCTTTCTTCGAACCTTCTCTGGCTTCTTTCTTAACACCATCTCCTTTAATGTTCTCCTCCTTCTTGACATCTTTTTGGTCCTTGGACATGTCATCTGTTTGTTTCTCTAGGCCATCCTTGGTGCCAGTCGCCTCCTGCTCATCCTTTGCCTTGCATGCCTCAGAATCTGCAAGTTTTACATTTTTACCTGTTTCCAGAAGGTCATCCCCATCACAATCGATAGTGATGGCATCTTCAGCCTGGATTGTGACAGACACATTATCGTCATCAGCTTCTTTCACAGAAGTGTGATCTTTGATTTCTTCTTTAACAGCAGAATCTGATCCATTTTCTTCTGAATGAAGAGGTTTAGATACGTCGTGTATACCATCACCAGAACCTGTTACATCTAAGAGGATTTAACAGGAATAAAGATGGCAAAGTAAGAAATTTAAACAAATTCAAATTCGAGTGTAGGACCTAGAGAAAATAAATCTGGTTAACAGTAAACATTGCTTTAAAACTATAGACAAACAAGAGGACATTCTTCGTGGCAAGACAGCACATTAGACATGAGGTTAAGGATCCATTTTCTGATGAGAGAGCTTGATTAAGCAGAGCCCCAAAATCGACAGGAAGTCTTCAGAAACCGAATGTCAAGCGATATGTTGTCCTGAAGTGGGAACAACCTTTCTTCTTTCCAAACCTATGTCTGGACGGGAGTCAGAATTCTTCAAACAGTCACAAGTCCAAGCACAGGAATTCTTCAACATGTTGGCCAGGGGACATGCCTGATGGCAAAAGCAGTATCAGAAGATGCATCCCATCAGCTCAGCATCGGAAGTATCCAAGTAGAAGGGTCCATGTATCTCAACCATGAAAAAAGCTGCAATTACTGGTCACACCAATCCTTGTCATATTCTGCAGACATTCTGATCTTCAGCAGCATGGTTGTGACATACAAGAGATGTTCCATGGTAATACCAATATATACGGGAAAGATGATCCTCAGGAGAAATCACACATCCTTCAAGAATGGTGCTCCTTCAAGAATGTTCCACAGTAATAGGCACAGATAATGTGACAATGATGTTCCATATAAAAGGTATTGGTCACTCAAGAACCAGGTTGCATTTGATAACAAGCACAGGTCACACAAGAGCATTGCTCAGCAGTAGTTTGTAGTGATCCAGTTAAGAGCAATTCTGTACTCCAAATTCATCCATTTACTTATACAATGCCATCATAGGTTTTAGTGATCTTCTTTGAGAGATTAATATCCAAGTATCCAAAAGGTCTTAGAGAGCATCTTTGCAGAAGTAGGCAGCACAAAATGTCCTATGATGGTGGCCACATACATCATAGGTGTTTCCAAACAAACCATTCGACACCAACATCTTAGAATTACTTGTGTGTAAAAACACAAACTTACCTTTCAAAAAAAAAAAAATGTTCAAAAATACATGTTTGCTATAAATACTTTGAAAAAGTATATTTTGCTGCTAAGAATCTGTTTGCCGTCTTTATTCAGTGAATTCAACAGGGGTAAAAAAAATAGATGGCCTTTTGTGGTGTCAAGTTGTCTACCAGTTTCCTCTAAAATGCAAGAAAAAGTATATACTAAAGACTAACCTTTATCATTGTCTTCGTCTTCACCTTCCTAAGAAACAAAACAAAATTCAATTACAATGTCACAAACCATTTTTTTTAAAATCCCAGATTTCTGAGAACATAACATTTTTATTTATTTTAAATAATACTAATTTTAAAAAAAACAAAAAAAACACCACACTATTAAGAGTGGAAGTAAACTTGCTTTACAACACTTTTCAAAAGCCTAGAATTAAACACTACTGCTCATCCACATACTTCCCCATGCTTTTACTTAATGCAATGACACCACTGGTGCATGCACAGTAGTCTGCTCATTTCCAGCAACCTAAGTGTGCCGAGATCTGGGGAGCGCCTAGCCAAGATTAATCTTCAGCAAGGCACTTGAACTCCCCTGGGCCTTGTCAAAACTCCTTGTGACTAGTGAGGTCACCGGGTTTCTGAACATTCCTCTAAAAGTGGCACCTCCAACAGTGGAAGCTTGCAGAAGACAGAATCTTTGCCGAAACCCACCTGGGAAGGAAAATTAATCCTAACCATGTAAAAAGTAATAGTAAACCCGTTTTTTCTAACCTTATACTGTACTTATTTTGTATTGTATTACATGTTCTGTGCATGTGCAAGATTTACTCATGACATGCATTAAGTCAAGGCAGAAGAAGTTAGAAGATACCGCAAGGAAAGACCCAATATGTTGTAACATTCAGCGGTAGTATGGGAGAAATACGCTACTAGCAAAACCAAAGTATACTTTATGGTGTGGAAATATACAAGGTGTATAAAAATGCAAGCAGCTAAATGCGCTGGAACGCACAGTAATTGGTGTGAAAAAGGCCCTCTATGTGTAAGCTGCCACATTTTGAATTTTTACAGATACCAAGGACAAACCTCTTGTGAGTTGGCAGGAATAATAAAAGGCCTTAACCATGAAACACTGTAGTACTATTCAAAACACTTCATTTTCCAATACAAGGACTACATCATAACTAGGTGTAATGTGCCTATGATCTTAGTGTCTCAGGTCTTTCTTTGGTCTAAGGGCTTGTTCACACCAATTCGAGTTCCAGCTGTGCGACACGTTCTGGTGTGGCTGCAGTGCCATTGACTTAAATGCAGCAGCACCCCAGAACACGGAGCCAGATAGTATGCAATCCAGTGGGTTCCAGCAGCTAACCACGCTGGAACACACTGGAATTGGTGTGAACAAGCCCTAAAAGTAAGGAATAAAATATTTCACTCACTATATAAAAAGATAATGTGTTTCTGAAAACCTCACCAAGCCCGATAAAGAGAGCAATGTATTTCCAAAAGTTGAACACAGTTGTACACATTTCTGATTTTAAAAAGTGTGACTATGCCCAGACTTCTGGCATTAAACTACTTGCATATTCTTAACGAGCAGTAACACAGCTTTAAAACAAGCAACCCCTGACTACTCAGGCTGCTTTCCTATGAATTTATTCTCAAAGACCCATAAAAAACACAAATACTCCAAAACTTGGGTTTCAATTTTTAGCTGCTGGTTGTTTATGTTAGAGAGCTGGTGTTGGACCAAGATTCTGTTGTCATGGTCTTGTTCAGAATATATAAATACTTGCATGTATTTTATTGCATCATGCAATATTGTGCATGATCTAGGTAACAGGTTCACGTTAAAGTTCAATCTTCGATCACAAACTGGGAGCCTGCACCACTGCCCACCCATCCACTATGACCATGGCTGGTAGTAAATTCTAGGTCAGGGCAAGAAAACTGTGCACATGACCATTTTACGTCTGTACAGGCTTTTGGGAAAATATATATATTTTTAAATAAAAAAACAAAAAAAACATCAAAGTGTAACTTTAAGAAAAATTGAGAAACAATCTTTTGGAAGGGCACTATAATACATGTTGACTTCCAATATGCTCCTTTATCTTTGCCCAAGTTAATGTACTAAAATTAGCTGGTGATACAACCTTTTCCAAGTATTGCTTGAATTCTGGTGCAAGGCCGTCAACGCAATTGAGCCACTAGTGAAACTGCTCAGTTCCCAAGGATTCCTAGCACATAAAAACTTTGCTGCATCATTATCCCTAAACCCTGGGCTTCCCCTGACTGCACATGTTCACAGCTCAGACAAGGCTGAAGCACAGGGACAACAGACCCATCCCCTCCACCAACCATATGAATGGAGTCCAAGGTGGAAACCTCACCTCTATTTAAGAGAGAGTGCACAGGTACTATTTATATTGACTTTACTTAATAAAGTACAACCATGGCCTGCAGCAATTAAGGACACTAGTATGGGGACAGATGAGTGTATTTGCACTTTTGCAGCCAAATTGGGATAGCCAATATTATATTCGTTACATATTCCCATAGCAAAAAAAAAAGAAAAAAAAAGGTTCTTGCAGTTTAAATTGCCTTTACTTGGGTTAGGGTTATTTGGCTTCTTAAGAGTTAAAACTTCTACTTGCTGCTCCTTTGTAATGTTAGGAGGGGCTGTGGGGGGTGCGGGGGATTGTTCATTATAATTTGTGAAGTACACCATCTTTCCTAACAAAGGGTAAAGGATTACAACCTTGATTTGGGCATTGTAGGTTAATGAAGTTAAAGTAGGACGTACATGGTTAGAATTTCATAGGAAATGAATTTCCCAACGTACATGCAATCAATATTTGATGGGGTGGAAACGATGATCAATTCCAACCGCAGGGACGAAAAGTTGGAGCATATTGGAAAATTTTTCTCGATTCACCAAAAGTCTAAGAGTGAATGTGGATTTTATTTGTGAGACTCCATTCATACCAAAATCCAACGTTGAGTTAAAAAGAAAATCAAGCGGCGTTTGGCACGTGCCCAATGGCATTATAGAACATTCAGAGCAGATCTTTCACACAAATGTTTGTACTCTATTTAAGTATCTCTTTAAGGGCCGGTTAACACCACAAACTCTGCGTTCCAGTGCGTTCGGCCTCAGTATTGGGCTTGCAATAATTTTTGCAGAACTCACTGTACCAGAACACTAATATGTCTGCGTTCCAGGTGCCGGCGATCACACTGCGGACGAGGGGCGTGGCTGCAGTACAAATGACTTAAATGCACCTCCACTCCCCCTCCAGCCCCTGAACACAGGTAACCGGTCGGCTTGTGTTCCAGAGGCCGAACGCACTGCCCTGAGGACAGATCATTGTGAATGTGCTCAGAAAATCCTATAACCTGCCAAGTTGCTTGCTTCAACAAAACATACAAAAAAAGGTCAAACATTGTAAAAAATATAGTTTTCATTATGCTGCGAGTGGTTAGAGGGGGTTTTCCCAAAGTTGACTGCAAAAGTGGAAAAACTCTTTTAAGGGGTCTGAGAATGCTCTTTGTACAGTCAGCGCATAAATCCTTTCTGAGCTCTATTTTCTCTATATCAAAGCTATTTATGTTTTAATCCTGAATTGTACCAAGTAATATGATCCAATTGCAAAATAAATGCCAGGTGTCCTAAGGTTGAAAAGGTTCCCCTTGACAGTTTGAAAGCAATCCATGTTAGAAGTATTACTCCCCATATTTCCAATTAATCCAACTTGGTTTTAAAAAAAAGGCAAAACTGTAAATAGTTACACTTGACCTGGAAATTTTGTTTCAAATCTAAATGCCCTACACACCCATAGTGAAAAACACTACCAATCACCCAATATTGAAATGTAAAACAATTCCTGATCTATCAAAGAGGTAAAATGAAAACCACTTACATCAGGCACCACATCATGATCAGAAAATGTTTGGGAGTCCTGATTTTCATTATCCTAAAATGGAGTGAGAAACATGAACAGTTATGGAAACAGGAAAAAAAAGCTACAAAGTTATAAACACTATGTGCCAGAGGTCTGTTGGATATACATAGCATGTGTTGTTAGCACGCAAACTCTCCCCCTCTCCCGACAGATCTTGGACCAGCGGTAGAAAACCTGGCCACTCCAACTGAAGTGAAAATACAAAGTCTTATGAGGCACTGTAAGACTAGCAGTCACAGCATGACTGCCAGAAGCAAAGGCAGGATGGGATTTTAAGTTGCAACACAGGGTGTCAAGGTTGCCTACCCCTGACATCAAGCAAAAAAGTTTTCACATGACCACCATGTACAATTAAACAAAAACACTAACCTATCAAGCATAAACTATAAAAGAAAATTGGGGGGG